CGACCACAAACGCTCCCAGAGCGTTGGACACTTGGGTGCTGGTGGAGAATCGCTTGGTGCCAAAGTAGGTGGTCACGAACCCCGTGAATGCGATGGCCAGCATCATCGGCATCTGTCGCCACTTCGCTTGGTTGATCACAGCGAGACAGAATGTGAAAAGGATAACGAAGGGAAAGCGTCCCACGTACTCGTTGGTGATGGGACTCGGGGGGCAGGTGTATTCGGAGGAGGCATCGGCGTCGAGAAGACCATACACCGCAGTGCCGATTGTGATACCGAACCCAAGAAATAAAGAGTATATAATGGCATACACCATGCGGACGGAGCCGGCCACAATGCTGCGGGACTGTAGTTCCAAACTGGCACACAGTACCATATAGCCTGGTAAAATCAACGCAATTGATGACTGGGCCAGAGCCGAGAAACAGAACAGTCGCCCATCTCCATGGCGAATGCTGCCAAAAGCCCGTGCCAGAAAGGAAGTCAGAACAGCCGCTGATATCTCGAAGACGTTTTGATAGAGGTTTGATCGTGGAGATAGCACAAGTTGCAGGGTCCCCAAGAGGCATCCAAGCAGAAACGCGATCGGCATATCGATGGGTCGCGCACTGAATGCAAAGGGGCCAACGCAGGCGCTAGCACAGCCATGCAGCAGAATCAGAAGCCAGACAGGGTATTTGTTCTTCATCTTCATAATCTCGTCCAGCCGTTGAATAGCCTCCTCCACCCCGATCACGTCGTGTATCACCTCCTTGTAAATAAGGTGTACATCGGACAACTTGCCCAAGTCAACACCTTGAGGCGCCCGCACCACTTTCACCTCCGTCGTATGGGTGGCAGCGTCGTCAAAGGAGATGATCATGCATCCCGGAAAATAGAGAAACTGGCCGTCGATTTCCAACACCCGTGCCGTCATCCTCATATACTCCTCTAACCTATGCGTTGGTGCCCCATACTTCATCAAAGCCCGACAGAGGCGAATGCAATACCGTTGCCGCGAGAGAAGCTCAGCGATGTGCACTGTAATCCGGATCTCATCCTCAAGCTGTGGCTTGCCCATTCGCTTAGGCGCACCTGGTATCGCACCACTGCTCCGTGAGCGCTTGAGCATCGCGATAGGGGAGCTAGATGAGTTCTTGGCGGTGGAACCAGCTAGAGACAGACTAGACTGGCTCGGCGATTTTTCGTACCATTTCCTCGGGCGTTGGGACTTCCAACTTGGATCAGGAGACAGCCCTCTACCACTGATTTCCCCGGCACTACTTCGGCGAGAACGTCCATGACGTCCGATAGAATAGTGACCATCCGAATGCTCGTGAAGCTTCAGCAGAGATGAGAGAATCCCACTCCGATACTGAGAAGGCCGTTCGACATAATTTTCGGAATCCCTGTCTTCGAGGGGAGTAACCTGTCCAGAGCGAAACCCTGGCGACGGGGCTTGAAGCCGGGTCAGAAAGTTGAAATCCTTTAGAGTCATTTGTTGCACTAGTTTGTGAGCTTCAGAAGAACGCGTGGAGTGTCGACCGTTTAGGGGGCCAACTTCATCGTCGTCTGAATAGTCGTCGAAATTTTTCTCGGTCAGGCTGATCATGGGAATTTCATCTCCAAGCTCAGCGGGCGGCACCACCTCGGAGGGAGTCGAGTCTATGGATGACGGCAGACTGCTCCGACGGCTTGGCCTAGGAGAATTAGGAGAACGACTGAGTAAGGTGGCCAATCGCTGGGCCCTCTCTTGCGCAGAGTGGATAGCTCTCCCCTTCTCATTTCTGACTTCATCATCACCATAAATCTCCGGCGAGCTAGCCCTTGAGTGGACAGTTAGGCCCGTGACACCGACTGGTGAGCCAGGGCTGATATCGATCAAGGGCACTGATTGGGGGCTGGCAGTGACCTTGTCGGCGACTGGAATGCGAGCTGTGGGTAACGGTCTTTGGGGCAATGATGAACCCCTTCCATCAAGCCGGGTCTCTGACGTCGATCCGAAAGAACTGTCGCCAAGACCAGCTTCGCTGACAGTGAATTTGACGCGATTCGCGGTTTTGGGGTTTCTAGCATTCCGGAATCTACCCTGGGCGCCGCTAGGGCCCGCTGCACTCTCTTGAAGCCTCTCATTGGGGATCGAGAGAGAGGATATACGCGGCCCTTGAGAGGATCTGCCTGTCCTTCCGGACAGATCAGTAAGGCTTCGGGGCCTTGAAGAGGAAATAGGGAGATCAAAGTAACCACCAGCCATTCCCGTGTGCTTTACGTGACTGGACAGAGTGCCTTCTGAACAAGCGGAATTTCTGGTACTTTTCTGTGTTACCCTGCTGGGGTTTTTTTTAGTACTTCCGAAATATTCCACTTATTGGTTTCTGTGCCCCGTACTCTGCACACAGACCTTGTTTGAGAGATGCACTATTTCTAGTTCTGAAGGCGATATCTGATCTTGTAGCCCCTCGAAGGCACAGCCCCGTGGCTAGCAAACCGTAGCTATATTCAGTAGCCTAGCAACCATGTCAGATCTGCGCGTTACATCACCAATGGGGCCTAACTACGAGCTGAAACTCACCTCGGAGGATTATGCCAAGCTGGAGGAATGAGGCGGGCAAAGACAGGACGATATGGTGGTTGCAAGGCTTCGCGATCCAAGCCACCTCAAAAAAGCAGATAGCGGTCGCGACGGTAGGGTGCTTGGAAGGGATGAAGGGCCCGCCGTAAGGAATGAAGGCACGTCACGGACGCATATCCCGATTCGTTATGCTGGCCTGAAGGACTCCTCCAGAGAAAATCCGAACTTGCTGCAGGGTGAAAGAGGAGGCAGGCGAAGGAAAAAAGGGGGAGGGGTGAAGAGATAGATAAGAGCTTGCACTGTACTAGCCGTGGCTACGATGAAGCTCGAGGGTATTATAATCAAGGTGGTGGGGAAGGCAAGTGCCAGAGACGTCCGATCTTCTGATGGACGAAAGCAGCCGAATCTTGGGATATGTGAGCTCCAGATAAAGGAAGGGAGGACCAATCACGGAACTCAAACCACACTGAGTATCATATGAAGAAATGGATGTGCGCGATCTGTCCTTGGCCCTGTGTAGCAGGATTTAAGGACTTTAAGGCCGTGGGAAGTAGAATGACTCAGGATACTCTCTCGCAATCTGGGGGTTTGACGTCTGGACAAAAGATGTCAGAGAAAGGGGAAGGAAAAGTTTTGTATCAACAGTAGCTTCAGCTGCGGAGCATCATCGCCACGCTGATGAATCATTGCATCGATTATCGCTGCAGGTCATGACAGTCCCGGACCAATGGATCAGCGTCTTCCGGGCCAGGCAAAAATGATTCAAAATAAGTAGAGCAAAAACAGGAGACAGATTCAAGGAAAGTCTCTTGAGCTGCACTAGGGAGAGTCCCAGCTCCAGGCCAGGTGCAGCCCCATAACCCTAAAGTCCGATAGCATGGAACCAACCGGATCGAAGAAGCGACGGGCATGTCAAGAGGTATAGACGATCACAGGAAATCAAAAAGGGTGACACCCAACCCCGTGGACTACAGCTGCGCTCAGGCATCTATCAGCAGGGCCGCGCCGGTCTTGCTACTATCTGGGACGCGACCACATTCATTGACGGAACTGGTTCCACGGGCTCCACGATTCGGTACCACTGTGGCTCATAAAGGAGTCACATTGGCTAAGACGGCTTCAGATGTACGGCGTCGAGGGGAATCGACTGCAAGAGTCCAAGACAGCTCATTAAATGGGCTATTGTCTCACAAGTCCGGAGACTCCGGTTCTAACGATGACGACAGTGTTTTTCTCGGCCTGCGTTGGATTTCGGCTGCTTTCACAGATAGTCGTGCAGTCGAGAATCTGCATCGGTATTTGGCTTCTACTGTTTCATCTGAGTCGCGTAGAGACTAGGCAGACTGTCCACTAGTTTGTGGTCGATTCTTCGGGCCCCCACCGACAGAAGCGCCTGGATCCACGGTGCAGCCTTCTGGAACCTCTTGAGGAAAGTATAGAAGTTGATTGACGGGGCTGAGCCGATCGAGAGGTATGTTGATGGATGCGCGCGGTGGGTTCTGGTTTCACATCGATTTGTATTATCTGCCACTCCTGAACAGGTCGAGAGGCAAAACTGGAAACTCCCGGGGATGTGGGCCCGTTGCTGGGTCCGGAAAGAGGATCCCCCCATCCGCAACTAAAGATCAACGACGTTCGTCTACTTCTTCTAGTGCCCGAACCGGACCGTCAACAGTCATTCAGGGACATCATCGGACCCATGGTCGGTCTGGACAAGTAGCCCGTGGTTCTTAATGCGGGAGGAGTGCATTGAGCCATTCCCGACCATCCTCCACGTCAGCCGGACGAATTTTTAATCGTTGACAGACGATGGATGGATGAATGAGCTTGCATTGGGGGCCGCATTCAACCATCTCAGTCGAGTATCACATCACATCGTAGTGCAGGATCTCGGCAGCGGCTCTAGTAAGGAGAGGGGGGGGGGAGAGATCCATGGCAGATGACGAAGCTTCTGCAGACCTCTTTCGAATTTATCACATGGCGAGACTCGATGCGGCGACCGAGTGGGACAGAGAGAACAGGGGATAATTGATGTTGGGACTGATGGAGTGATGTATGGAGAGGAGGAATGTTGAAGTGAAGTTGAAGTTGAGGTAGAGGTTGGAGGAAATGGAGGAAATTTTGAAGGACTCAGCGGTGGGCGGCTTTCTGAACGGGACTGGGAAGTCCCTGTAGACTTCAATTTCAATCAATCTCAATCTCAATCTCAGTCACTTCCTCTTCTCTCTCCGCCATGCAATTCTTCTCTTTCCAATTGTCACCTTCCACGAATTGTTCTCAAGCATTATCACGGACCTGGATCCTCCACTAAAATCTACTAGAACTAACCCACATAGTATACACATACTATTTGTGGTTAGATTCCATGGGTAAGCTTTCTTCGAGCTCATTGCATCGCAGAATTAAGTGGTATAGGGGAATTGTCATGCACCTCTAACTAGTGAAAGAAGGAGTGTGGGGTAAAACGCGCGTTCAAGCAGTGGACGATCTGCAAGATATTCGACATGCAGCCAGCTACTTAGCTACCTGGCTCCGAAAATGACTTGGATGGTTGGATCTCCCTTGCTGTCATGGAGTATCCTTGCCCCCTCCCCCTCCCTCTTCCCCCCTGATCATCAATCAGAATGGGTCCTGGATCCTGGGGCTAATCACATCTCTGTATTGGTTTTTGCAATCCACAAGTGCAGATGCACGGTGCACTCAGGGGATCTACAATACCTACTTTTAGCGGCTCACCGGATTCGGCCATACCGCATCACTCCCCGATTTTCGAGTGCCTCTGGTGGTTTTGCTTCAAGTTGAGGACAAAAGTTCCCGATACAGATGTCGCAAGAATCTTCATGTCTGTTTCCATCCTTCTGTTCTTCATATCACTTGCATCCAGGGACGTTCACACTTGCCTACGTACACCGATCCGCCGGCTGCAGACAAGCTTCGACGTTGGAACTAAAAAGACGCCTCTGGCTCGACTCCTTGCTTGAGGCTTGCTTACCGGTCGGTGTGGCGATAATTTCGCCGACCCCCGGTCGGAACCCAATTGAGACAACTGGAATGGCACTTGAGGATTAACAGCTGGCTTGTTGGGATGCGCAGAGCTAGACTGGATGATTGAACATTGCCCCACTCCCAGCTGCAGTGTGGACTTGACATTCCATTTGTACTGCGAAAATAAATATAGAACACTCCCAGCGATGTCGACACACAATCCCCTGCCCCATCTTCGTTGTTTAATGCTCCGCACTATCGGGAGAATTGGCAGAGCACGCTCCATCACAAGAACCAGCTTGATCGCTTCCACCATTCTTTGCTGTCCCGTACCTGCGTCGAGCTGCTTCCGAGCACCCTGGGCTTGTATGACGCCCCTATCCATGATGTCAGTGGGTATTCGCATCTGGTAGATTGCGTGGCGCCAGGTCACACCGCGCACAGCCGAACCTGGTCTCATCTCTGTGCTCGGACGGTGGCTGGTAAGTCCGCTGCGTGCCTATCTAGAGCTACACTGACAGATCGACTCTAGGAGCTTACTTACATCCATTTTGCAGCCATCGCCTATTCATTCCAACATGCCCGACAGAGTCCCAAGCTTCATGCGACCGGGCTTGTTCAACCCAGAGCGGGTTCGACTTCCCTCCCGTCCGACGCTGCGCAGTGCTGCCGAGGATGGCGGTGTCACCTGCATGAGCGCAAGGACCAATCTTTAATTCTGCAAACCGGAATGAGAGCGAAAGGCGTCACACCGGGGAGGCGATGCAGCCGTGCCGGCGGATGTAAGTCTCCTGTCATGAAGGTCTGCGCGCTGGCTGCTGCCACTGTGGGGAAGGCAGGGAGGTAGCTTGTGTCTGATTGTCAGTGCGAGGGATAGTGGCGAAATCCGCACCATTCCGTCGTCAAGGTAATTGGGGTGACGTTGGCCGTCTTCTGGAGGCGCTCTGAGACATGACGAGTTTACCGTTGAAGAGAGTATAATTCATCATGATTGCGCCTGGGACAGGGATGTGTGCATTTTGCGCGCAGGGTGTAGCTTGCAGCCTGTGGGTCAATATAGAGACCAGAATAGGTTCTAGGTGAGTCTTTATACTGAGACAGAGACCATCTAGCTCGGTGTGACAAGACCTTCACCAAGCAGAGGCCAGCCAAACCCCTGTACAATCACAGTATGATAAGGGAGGTAAGTTTAATATCGATGGCAGCAAGTCAATTGACTCCATATGCCACCATTGACTCCTCCACTCCCCACTCGCATGACATTCAGTGTAGTCAATTCTCGTGAGTCAAGAGCATATCGACTGTCTTGAACCCTCTTTCCAGATTTTGCAGCTGCCAGAATCGGCCCCTCTAGAGCTTCGTAGCTATCAGCGAGTTTGATCATCTGAACAGGTCGCAAACCTTCTCTGCCCATGTCTTAGAACCGCCCCACTAGAAGTGCTCCAGACTAGCGCCGTTCACCTCTGCAACGCAAGACATTATCCAAACCTCCCCAATCTCGTCCCATAGATAGCTCCCCGTCATCACGACAGACATCACATGAAACTTTGAGTCTCAACCCCTTCTACCTCGAAGTCAATAGAACATTATCGATTCCTCTCTCTCGTCCCTCCAAAATACCCGATCAAATCTCGTGCGATAGGGTGCCAACAACAACAACAACAATCACAAGAACAAGAACAATAGGAGCAAAAACAACAACAACAACAATACAAACACCATCACCCCAACCCCCAACCCAAACAACAACCTGAACACTCCCCGTATCCCCCTAAGGTATCCAAGCACAGTAGAACGAAACCAAGCGTCACACCCACAGCCGTCCCCGTCCGTCCCCATCACGTCCCCGAAATCGCGTACTGTACCCCGCAGCAGAAGCGAGCAGAAACAACCCACCCCAACCGCGGGATTCCTGGCGTGGCGTAGCGTAGCTTATGCACGATGATGCATTCATTCAATTATCACAATGTACTAGTAGGAGGAGAGGGGAGATTTTCTGCAAGAAAATGCGGTACTTGCTACTGGGGGCCGAGGTTTGCGGGGTGGTCATATATCTTTGTTTTGCTAGCGGGGCAGGGCACTTTCAGCAACAGCATGGGTGTTTGACATGATTTTCACGCGGGAGAAGAGGTTGATGAGCTATTGCTTATTTACCAAAGTATACCTACACCTACGGATTGTACTCCTACATTGAATATACCAGAATGGATAGCAATCCGTGGTAAATAGAGCTGAGTAGGTATGGCTCATTCGATTTAATCTACCACCCACCCACCTACCCGCCACATATCAAACAAACCCCAGGAAACCAACCACTTCACTCCCCAAACTCCATTGCTAGTGCTAGTGCTAGTGCTTCAAATCGAATCAACCCAGCTCAACCCATTCCATCTCGTCCCGTTCCATCATGACACCCACGAAAACAAAACCAAACCCGCCAAACGAACCCGAGAAATCAAAGACAAACAACAAGGGAAAAAAGGGCTTACACCGGGTTCAGGCCCTAACAGTAGCAGCAGCAGCAGCAGCAGCAGCAGCAGCAGCAGCAGTAGCAAGTAAAGGTATTGGTATTAGAATTCAGATTTACCAGAAGCGAGAAAGGAAAAAACCGGGCGAGAAAGTGAAACCCCTCTTAAAAATGCTGGCAGAATATTTGCAATCCATTCGCTCGTATCGTACGCAACCCATACATATCACGCTCGTCGCTCTACCCGGCTCAATGCCCCCAGTATCACACCTAGGTCTTCCTTGGGCCGGGGCCGGAGACTGAGGTCCTTGTGGTCGGTCGCCGAGTCGGTGCTGGCCAGGCGGCGGATGCTGTTGCGGGCGTCGCGGGCTTCGAGGCGCTCGGCGCAGATGCGCAGGACCTGCGAGGAGACGGCGTCCGAGGTCGAGCGGTACAGTTCGAGGTTGTGAATGCCGGCGGCGAGAGAGTCCAGCGTCGGGGCGAGGGTGCTGGTTACGCGGGAGAGGCGGGTGGAAATGGTAGTTGGGGACATTGGAGGGAGGAAGGTATCTGTTGCGGAGGTTGTTGATCTTGCTGCTGCTGCTGATGGCGGGTCGGTGTCCATGGGCTCGCCGTCTGTCGGCTGTGGTGGTTGTGGTTGAGGTGGTTGTTCTTGTTGCTTGACCGTCTCCGGGTCGATCTGGGCATATATCCTCCGCTGAGACGGGTCTAGTACCAATAAGTCGATCGGCTCGTCAGGCCTGGATGATGATAGTTGTGAAGGCTGGCTGGGATCTGTCTCGAGCGGTTGTTTTCTGATACGGGGAATATCCGGCGGTCGTAAGAGAGCATTGAGAGCATGCCGCTCTTTTTGTAGCCTATTGTCAAACGTGAGCAGTCTGGCCAACACAGAGCCCCTAAAGCGAGACGTACTTCTGTATTAACTCCTCCAATTCCTTGATCTTGTCCGCATTCTGGATGTTCTTCGGGTTCTCCTTCTTGACCACCACCGCGGGAGGATCCAGCTCTTCCCGTTCGAACCAATTAGAGAGTGTGGAGTTCGACTCAAAGTCTTTGAGGAGCTCCTCCTGTATAACACGTGCTAGGTTGTCTTAGCATGTGCATCGCAATCCCAGGAAAGGTGCACTTACCCGCTAGCCGAGCGCTCTCATCCTCTGAGCGCGACCCAGAAGGCTTGTCGCCTATGGCTCGCGTACCACACCAGATCAAAAGCTGCCGCATTCGACGCGGCTCCGTTAAGTCTGCGGCAATATGCTTATAGAAATCCGCCGTGTTAACCTTCTTATGTGGTAACGCTGAATTATCCCCGTCAGCCACTCGTGCCATGGAATCACCTGCGGATCAATAAAACCCACCGTTGGACGCCCCGGAGTCGATCAGCGAACTTGCTCGCCGACCTCGCATCCCCAGACTACTCCGCCGATTGTTCCCCTTCACGGACTTCTTCCCTCGCATCTCCCGATTTCTTTGTATGACCGGCGTGTCGGCCAACGGCAATGAAATCGTGGCCGTGCCAGCCTGCGGTGGCCCTGGAGACACGTATCCATTGCGAAGCGACGCTCGTCGTGGTGATTGTTGTCGTTGTTGTTGAGACTCTAATTCCGGCTGCGGCGTCGGCAGCGACTGTTGTTGTTTCTGCTGTTCCTCCTTCCTAGAATAACTAGGTCGGCCTTTCCTCCGCTTCTTCTCCAAGGGGACCGTTTCCCCCTGATCTCGTTTTCGCGTCGAGCGTTTCGCACGTTCTGGCTGTGGCTCAGGCTGTGCCTGGGCTGGAGGTTGCGACTCCGGTTCTTGCTCCGGTTCCGGTTGAGGCTCGAGTTCAGGCTCAGGCTGGCTCTCCTTCGCCTTTGCGGCTCCCCGGGTTGTCCTCTTGCTCGTTCCCTCGCTCGGCTTCGTTTTTCGTCTCGTTTTCGTGGTATCCGTAGTAGTCTCTGTCGCAACCGCAGCAGGCTCCACCTTCTCCTCCACCACCTTCTTCTTCGGTGGTCGACCCCTTCTCGGAGATGGCTGCGGCGCTGTATTCAGATGCGAGCTTGCCGGCAGAATCGCGGGTTGAATTTTTTCCGTCGATGGTCTGGGCTTCTTTGTCGCGATGCGCGTAAATTGAAAACCATCGTCTTCCTCATCAACAGGCACTACGCACGGGAAAAATGAAAATTAGCACGTCCCGACCAAACCATCCAGAAAACCCGACAAGAATCGCTGTCGTTCAAAGCCACCCACATCCTCAAACCGAGGAAAATCTCAATCCATCCAAACAAGCAAAGCCACTCACCTAACTTCCTCTTCTTCTCCCCAGCACCTGTACCATTCGCAGTCGCACTCGCATTCTCCTCGCCTTTATCCTGTTTACTCAGCCGCCGACTCGATCGTCTGCCCCCGCCTCTTCCAGGCGCGGCAGGACGCGCCTGCGCCTGGGACGTAGCCATATCGATAGCCAGTAACGGTCCACGACGCTTCGTCTTAGCTGTAGTGGTGGTGGTGGTGGTGGGCGTCGCCAGAACAGTGACGGTCATGTCAGGGACCGACAAAAGGGGGTGAGGATGTTTGGTGTCGAGTCAATTGGCCTTCGTTCCTGGTTGGAGTTTTCGCACGTCCGGTCGCTCAATCGGATCTTTTCACATCTAAGATAACGCAACCTCGCCGGAAATTGTAGCGCATCCAGTGGGAGCGCAGGCCACGTCCAAGTCGGAAAAGTTTGGCGTACGTTGAATGCCGAATGAGAATGAGGAAAAAAAGAGGATTATTCCGCGATGTCGTAATGGATTCTCCTCACTCCGACAGCAGATGCGATTCGAGTCGATCAATTGAGGGCCGGTAGCCAAGCTATTTGTACCCTCCCAACAAGATTGCGCCGATGTCAATCACTGACGGAAGCGAAGTGCGGAATCGAAGTTGTCGAGGGCGGGCGGGTGTTGGGTCGTCGGATGCTGCGTTTTCCTTTCCTCCGGCTGGCTCGTCGGTCGACTTTGGGTGTAAGGCCCGGCTGGTATATCGCACGGTCGCAAATCGACAAGACCAATCAGTGGAAGCTGTATTGTTGATGGCGTAGGTGGATTGAATGAGAGGGGGTCGGGTTGAGAAGGTTTGTTGTCCGAGAGACGTGTATTGTCGATGCGGGTTGCGCGCGAACCACCACCCGCACAGATTGTCCCGGGGCAGGT